GTTACTGTAGTTGCACGTTGCTGGTTGGCTTCAATGCTTTAAATTCTCTAATTCTGCTCAGCCCCAGGCACTGGAGGGGCTGTTTGGTGGGCTCGTGCCAGCACCCCTCTCCTGGGGTGCAGAGGGCACCCAGCACTGAGCACTTGTACAGCCCTTGGTAGGAATTTTGTAACACACGACTTGAATAAAGAAATATTTATTAAAACCCTTTGTTTCGTAGCATTCCTTTTTTTACTGAGCATGGAAGTGAAGACCTGTGTAAGCACCCGAGCCTCTGAGTGAAACTGTAGCCTGTGAGGCTGAAATATTGAATTTAGGGGAGGTGTTGGTGTGAGAGCTGGGTAAGGCAGAGATAAGGCAGAGATGACGACGCTGCTGCAGAGGCAGAGCAGGGAATGAGTCTCTTCTGTTAAACTTTCATGTGATGACAGCAAAAAGCACAACAATATGAGTAAAAAAATGATACTTCTCAATGGAATTTGAAATGGGTGCTTAAAATAAAGTGGGCTGCCAGTGCTGCAGATGCCCCCACTGTGACCCTGCCAGGGCTGAAGCAGGAACCCTGAGGAATTTAGGGCTCAGGAGCTGGATGTTTCCACCTCCTCTGGCCTGGGCAGATCTGGGATGGACACACTGGATGTAGTTGTATCAGTGCTGGCATAACCCAGTGGAAAATTGTCCCTCTGACTGATTGTGTAATCTTTTGTCAAGGAATCACAGGCTGCTTTGGTCTTAGTCCTGTTTTTAAATCCATAGGTATAAACACCCTGATCTCTTCCCAAACTCAACTCAACGTTTGCAGCAAGCTGTTGATGTCAGGCATTCTGCATAATCCGTTTTCCAGACTTACAGCCCGGCTAGAATTGGATTTGGCTGATCGGATTTCTTTCGGGGCTAAATTTGGAAGCAGGATGGCTTGGAAAAGGCAAATGCCATGTGATTTTTCTGGGCTACCATCTGCTCCCAATGCTTGATGCCCCTGAAGTTGGGCAGGATTCAAGGTGGGACAGTCAGGTTAGAAAGCTGGAAGATGCATCCCTGGAGAAACTGCTGAGCAGCAGAAATAAAAGGCTGAGAGGGAAAGAGGATCATTGCACCCAGCTCTGTGCTTAGGCAGGCTCTGGGTCCCTAAAATGGTGTTCAGAGAGGGGAGCCTCATCCCTGGGCAGCTGGGGCTCAGTGGCTGCCCAGAGGGAAGGTTCGTGTCCAGGTCATTCCCAAAGCACCTGTGTGCAGCTCTGCCAGTATGGAAAAATGCCTTAAAATTTCTTTCTTT